TATATAAGGAAATCATAGCAAGGAACCCTAAAACGATAGGCTATTTGGGGTCAAGGTACTTTCCCAAACCCCGAAACACGAAAGCCCGAAACCACCGAAGCTGAAGACAAAGCCGCTGGAAGCCGTCGTAGAACCCTTTTAGACCAGGTTTGAACCCTTCTAGATCCCTTTGAGAACCCCTAATGGTTTAGGGTTTAGGGGTTTAGGGTTTAGGGCTTAAAAACTAAACCTTTTTCGGCAAAGCTGCTGGAAGCTCGACCTTGAACTTACTCTGCAGCTCGTTGCGGAAGCTCACGCTTGTGAGACTGTCCTTGGTCTGCAAGGCTCGCAAACAGCCACGCTTTAAGGTGTCGGGCTGAGATTCCTTATAGTAAACACCAAAACGTTGGAGACCAGATTAAGGACAAATAGTGCTGGGACGCCCTAGTACAGCACCCTTATTAGAGAACCCTAAACCCTAAACCCTAAACCCCTAAACCCTAAACCCTTTAAAAGGGACCCTAATTTAGAAACCTACCCATATCGCCAAGTAGCCATTCCCAGGTCCATGAGCGGCTGGTCAAGAGCAATTGCATCCTCCGCCCATGGGTTTTCAAGATATCTCTGAAGTACACGGGTTTCGGGGATTAGGGTTTAAGGTTTAGAGTTTAGGGGATATATGTCTAAAGTACACGGGCTTAGGGGATTTAGGGTTTAAGGTTTAGAGTTTAGGGGATATATATATCTAAAGTACACGGGTTTAGGGGATTTAGGGTTTAAGGTTTAGAGTTTGGGGGATATATCTTCTTCAAGAACCGGGCCCAAAAAGGTTCAAACTTTCTAACTAAGGCAGATTAAACATGTAAGGCCCAAACAAATTAAGTTATCCCGTTGGCTAAGTTTCAAGGTATCTGCACTGCACGATTTTTTAAAGCTTGGTACACTTCCAAAGTTGTGCACACTACAAGGGATGAGGCTTTAGGGTTTAGGGGTTTTATCTACATTGAATTAGCTGGGTCGGCGATTCAAAGCCTCTGAAACATATTCGCAAAGAAGATCTTCTTAAGACCAATGCGGGGACTGGAAACTATAACATGACCCCAAAGCCTAGCTGGTTTCAATATGGCTGCGGGGTATATTGTTTGTATGCTGCAATTTTCCCTAATAGCATCAGCGGTTAATCAAGCTTCTAGATTTACGTATTCAAAACTAGACCCTAAACCCTAAACTCATAGAGTTGATGGGAGGGGGGGCAAGGGGCGTTACTGCACCGACGCGGTGGTGCATTTTCCGACGTGGTGCTGCATGTTTCGACGTGATGTCAGGTAACATGGAATTCTGTAGTCTGGGACACACAACTCTTGAGATTTTCTTTTTTTCTTGCGAAACATGTTGTCTTGTTTTCCGGATGTGCATGCCTCTGGCCTGCCAGTCAGCAACATTTTGTAATCTGTGAACACAACTCTGGAGATTTTTTTAATGGCGAAGCTAGTTTTCCGGATGTGCATGCCTCCCGCCCGCCAGTCGGCACACGAGAGGAGCGCATAGGGGCGTCTGCCCTCTGGGTAGAATGCCGTGGCAGCATGGTGACAGTCGCAGCGAATGTAGGCATAATTTCAGGAAAATGTTTCCTGGACTCTTGCTGTTTCCACAGAACCACGGCTGCCACGGCATGGTGCTAGTCAGACAGTCGGAGCGAATGCAGGCATATTTCAGGAAAATGTTTCCTGGACTCTTGCTAGCGTTTCCACAGAACAACGGTACTAGCATGTAATGTGACACAGCGTTGCCGTTGCTGCCATGTCGGAGACCGACCCCTATTATCGTCAGCGCCACTTGGCTGATGAAATGCAGAGTCGGATCAGTTGCGTTAATCTTTGCAGTTCTCATCTGTGACATTTTCCTGCAAGTGACTTGAGGCAAAGTGCCGGTTGCAGCGTATGAGCTGCAAGTGTACCCGTCTCGCCAACCAGCGGAGCGGCAGTCGCAGTGGTCGCTCTGGTGTCTGGTAGGTCTTTGCAGTCACCGTGAAGATGACGACCCTCTCCCTGATGAGAAGAAGCTACAGCAGACTGCTCGTGCCGCGGTCATGCACATCAGACATGATTCACGGTGACTGTTTACTTTGGCCAGCTTGAACTTTGAACGATTTGCCTTCTGATCTCAGGCAAGCAGAAATCTACGAACCTCAGCAGCTGGAATGATTGGCACGAGGAGCTTTGGCCAGGTTATCAGGCGCCCAAGTGGCTCGAACCGCTGCAGCATCGTGCGACTCCGAGTGATGGCAAGTATTTCCAGGAATTGACGGTCTCCACAAGCATGCTGATTGCAATCGTAGCATTTGGTGCTGGCCAGCAGAAGAGGAACCCTGTGTACCGCGTGGCGTCGGCCAAAGCACTTGTGAGCATCGTTGATACAGTGACTCGATCTGGCAAGCTGGAATTGACAACCAGGCCGCTCGGGTCTGATCAGGCTATGACTGTGCGTGTTCCTTTTCAGTGGGCCGCACGCTGAGCACGTTCCGTCAGAGTTGGGATGCGGCTGCCCAGGCCTGTTATGTGCTTGGGTCTTGGTCCATTGGTCAAAGTTTCTAGAGCACCTTAATCGGATATTGGCGATGCTCTAGTAGACAGTGACCACTTTTGCACACGCTGTAGTAGAAACTGCCCATTTTTGCATACGCTCCGCCGTAGGATCATGTGAAGAAGCCGCACATCACGACGGCCTCATCGTTTCCCAATCTGGGCCAGTTCATTGCCTACGCGCTGGACCCGTGTCCTTATCGCAATGATCTTATTATATTCATATGTCCCAACAATGTCAGACTCGAAGCATGCAATCCGGAGACACGAGGTCGACCCTGGAGGAAACTTCTCTGCAGCCCTTGAGATCACTGGCTTGCAGCCTCTTGAGCCAGATCGCTCATTTCTTGGATCACTGATGCATTTAGAATATGGCGCTGTGAATTGCATACGTTCGTGCGCTCTTTTTTCCTCTTCTGTACCTTTGGCTTTCTCGCTCTCTCTCTCTATCTCTGTTTTGTCTCGTTTCCGGATCGTCTCCTCGCACGCTTCTGGTGTCCTTCTTAGGGTTTCTTTGTACTCTCCTTTCTATGGCTCTCTCTCTCTCTCTCTCTCTTTCTCTCTTTCTCTTTCTCTCTCAGCTCTCTGTGTGTGTTTCTGAGTTGTTTTTGCTTATGTGTTTGTTTGGTGGCAGCCACTGTTGGTTCGTTTGCTTGTTGCTTGGTTTCTTCGCTGTTTGCCGCTTGTGGTTTTCGTGGTCCAATGCATAGCCCCAGCCGGCTTACCTAAACCCTAAACCCTAAACCGACTTAGGAGGCCAACATCCAGGATATCTGCTGTGGGGAGAATCCGGACAGACGCGGTGATCAGAAAGCCCGCCGGCAACAGCAACTGACGCCGCTGAACATCTTCAGAGCGGTGCAGCAATTGATGTCTGGGAAGGTCCGGGCATAGTCATAGATCTTTGTTACTGCATTCGTCTGCTGCACTGCAGCAGGTTCACTTCATCAAGGAGGCCATACAGGCTGTGTTGGAGAGACACAAGAACCCTGCCGGGGCAGGCGCTTTTTGTGCTTACCATTACATGGATCCTCAGCAGCAGTGCAAAGTGACATGAGATAGTCAGACAGTCTCGACATTGCACTTAGGATCGCCACCTGGCATTCTGCAAGGAGCAGTTGGGTTCACAAGGGCACGTGCATGTGCGCACCCCAGGGACTGGATGTCACCTTGCCTATAATTGTGTCCCGGACCTAAACCCTAAACCCTAAACCCCAAGCCCTAACTCTAGCCTGTAGCTCCTGTGGCTAGGTGACCTTCGACGGGAGCTCCATTGCGAAGAGTCCCACCGAACTTTATCATTTCACGTGTGTCGACCTGAGAATTTCCAGCTTCGTAGGTAACCGACAAGTAAGCTTCGGAAAAATGCCTCAGGTCCCGCAGTCAACCGCGGCACGCATTCACCGCCGTTGGCGGGTCGCTCAGAAGATGGGCACAGCCACTGAGACATCGCAGCGCTGGACATGTGCATGTGATGTACAATTTGAGTTGGCTGGCATGCTGACTTTTGATCAAACCATCCAGCTTGCATATAGGCCTAGGCTTCCAGGCATCTCGGACAGCACCGGGAGACCTGTCGGTCGGGGCCATGCAATGGGATGCCTTTGGCTGCGGCACAAACAGTGACTGTGACATTGATCAATGTAGATCGACCACAGCTAGCCGCAGCAGCGAAGCTGAAGAGCCCAGCAGCTCTCAGCCATCATCTGTGGAGGACCCGAATCTCTCGAGCAGTCCCGTGGAGACATCTTGCCTTGCTGCGTAGCTGATGTGTCTCTCGCCAGGATACTGGCGCTCTGCAGCGTCTGACCAAAGCATCTACGGCTTTGGCTATGGCATGGAGGGTTACGGAATCCAACCTTGGACGACCGTTGCTACAGGACTTCCCGTGCCTCGAAGTGTTGCTTCGGTTCTAGCTGTGCTGCCTGCAGGAGTCTTGTTTGGCCACTTCACGCTCAGCCTTCAGCATGTGCACCGGGGCGATGACGGCTGAGATGGCTCGGGCCTGCCTGCAGCAAGCCGTGACGGCATCTGGTTTTCCTATGGATATACAGACTGTGGCCCTCTGGGCACTGACCTTAAATTCTTGAGAGACTCGGGGCAGTTTTGCAGAGTGATTGTGTGTTTGCAAGACACTAATCTGACCGTCCAAGTCTTGCCCAGGAGAGGAACGCCAAGTGTCATCCTTTGATACTGAACAACATCGACTGGGTGAATTCCCTTCGCGGACGCGGGCGCGAAGAGCGCCCGCACTTGTTTCAAGACATCCTTGATTTGAATCCTCCTGGCTGCTTACGCAAGGTGACAACCTACGCTGGCAAGCGCCGAGCTGTGGAAAGTTCGCCCTGCGTGCAAGAAGTTCCATGCCTGTGCTGCATGGAGGACGTGTGTCGTGTGCCAGGAGCCGACTTTGGGGTCTCCGGTTTGCCGTGTGAAGACATGAGCAGGGCGGGACACCAGAAGCTGCGTCATGGAAAAACCAACAGCGTCTACATGACGCACGGCAAGTACACTGCTGCGCACCAGGTGCCACTCTTCGTGGTTGAGTGCACCCCAGAGACTTGGATGGTGAGTTCATTGTAGATAAGTCAAACAGGCGGCGGCATGCATGTCAGTGGTTCGAATCGTTTTGTGGGTTGTCCTAATGACGCTACAGTTTCCTCAGGAGCTGGATATGGGAATGATGGAGGAAGTCCACCCGGACTACGACCTCATTCAGACTTTCTGCGACCCCGGTGACACAGGTCATGAGGCATGCAGCCGCTCGCGGACGTATGTCATTGGTGCTCACAAAAACAAGACCGAGGAGCTGGAGGAGCCGTGCAAGTTGCAGGACAAAATCCAGCGCCACATCCGCAAGAGAGTGCAGACTGTGCCCTCGGACTACATGATTGCCACGGGCACGGAAATCTCGTTGGAGGCGCAGCAGATGGCCCGCAAACGTGGGATTCAGTGGAGACCGGAGCAGACAGATCTGGGATACCTGCTGAATCCCAGGGAGAAGTCCGTGGTGCAGGAGTACGAGAAGATTTACCGCCAGAGGACCGGCAGCTCTATGGTTGCAAACGAGGACATGGTGTGCTTCTTGGGAGACAACCCGCGGTACACCTTGTCGTGGTCGCTACATGGACGGCTCCCTACGTACCGCCGCAACAATGGCCTGCTTTGGATTCCGAGCAGGCAGCGGAAGATGACTGGCAAGGAAAGACTCGTGAGCCTCGGATGGCCCGTCACAGCTGAGATTGCCTCAGCCATGCAGGTGCCGATGGTACCCGCCCTGGATGTTCAGAGGGCTGCCGACTTAGCTGGGAATTCCATGCACTTCCTCAACACGGGAGTGCAGCAGCTGATTGCCCTCGCTTGCTTCGGGCCCTGTCGCAACGAATCAATATTTTGCTGAGACAGCGAGGCTGACAAAGTCAGCCATTTTATCCACTGACTCGTACAGTTCCACTTCTGTTTTCTACTCTGTCGTGTTCTTGCACACGCCAACAGCGAAAAAAATGAAGGTGTGGAGCCTCGCTTGCTGCATGGCCTGCTTCTAGGTGCATGTTCCTGCAAGATACTGTTTCGCCTTGGGCTTCGATTGGTGACAGCGACTGCACACATTCAGCTGCATACCTGAGCCATTTGATCAAGTCGAGTGCAAAGACCTAGGCCTTGGCATTTGTGCAGCATGAGCTCCGGCATCAGCTTCCTGTCGCCTGTGTGGGAGATGGGTGGCTCCCGCGAGAGCGATGGCTCGGAGCCCGAGCTAAGCAGCTCCGAGTCTTCCGGCGGGCGGAAGGCTAAGTCCAAAAAGGGCGTCGTGAAGAAAGACAAGACGAAGAAGACTGGAGGCAGTCGGCAAAAGTCTACGCGGGAGCGCAATGTGGACAAGGCCACGAAGATGTCGAGCCGCTGCACGACTTGGAAAAGAACTCCGGTCACAGCCTCAGGATTGCAGTCTGCCGAAGCTATTAGGGGCGGTTCTTCGCCGAAACGATGTGGTTCGGATCGGAAACAATCCCAGCTGATGCTCATGATGACTGATGCCCTATCTCGGGTGGCTCCCAGCCCAACCTAAAACATCAGAATTGTGCTTTGGATTGCAACCAATCGACCAACCCGGCGATTCATGCTCATGATGCTGTTGCCGACATATACACCCTGTCTCTCTCCTGCCCGCCTGTCTCCCTCTCCCTCTCTCTCTCTCTCTCTCTCTCTCTCTCTCTCTCTCTCTCTCTCTCCCTCTGTCTCTCTGTCTCCCTCTCTCTCTCTGTCTTTCTCTTTCTCT